CTGTCACTGTTTCCAATTAACTGTTTATTTGAATTAAGAAAAATAATGAGAACTGGCCACCTTTTGGTACGTGGTTGTTGAGAGCCTTCCTGGCCTGGGTGATCTGGAGCTTTCTTCTGTAGCTGTGCCCTTAAGGGCACTTGAGTCCTGGGGTCAGTGAAGTCAGCTATGTGTCTCTATCCATTTAAGGAAACCTGGCCCTTGAAAGGCAAAATAATTCCTTTTCCAAGGTCTATTAGATTATAAAGTTGCAACCCAGGAAGTTGGCATAGAAAGTGTTTAAGATGTATTCTGTTTTAATTTTTGCATATTGAAGACAATCCTTTCTTTTAGTGAATATGAAATGAAAGTAGTCTCAGGGTTTTTTTTTTTCTGTCACCACAATTCTTTCAGATGACTTCTTTTTTCGAGTCCCCCAGGGAGAAGTCAACCCAAGTTCCGCCACATATCAGAAGGAAATGAAGGCACAGAGAAGGCACTGTCTTACTCAGGCTTGTAGAAAGGGTGAATGTCAGAGCAGGAATTGGAGGGAAGTCCTGCCTGCTGTTCTGAGACACTGATGCTCCCGCTACCCCATCCACTACTCAGACACTTTCCCATCATTTCACAGCAGGCAACATTGAGGCCAGAGACCTAAAGCCACTTGCCTCAGGGGTTTAGTTGGTAAATGGTACAACCAGCACTGGAACTCAGTCTCCTGACCCCCAGCTCGGTTTTTTTCTTCCGACCAGAGTTCATAAGGCCTGTATACCAATTGCTTCTATACAATGACAGTGCTATGATGGCATTAACATAACAATTTCTGGATCTTACACTGACTACAACCAGGAGTAGAGAAAAATTTGTAGTGATGAGGACAATGCAGGGCAGTCAGCCAGGCCCCTTCCTTTGCTTCCATACACTGCCTTTGGAGTGAACACGGCTAGGATTGATCTTCAGCAAAATTACAAAGTTCCTTCATGCCATGGTTCGTCAGAGCACTGGTTGTAAAAGCCTTGAGCACTGAGAGCCTGCTGTGTATAAAGTGCTGTGTTTGGTCTAGCACAAGTGTGGTAAACCCATCACACTGTACCATGGCTGTGATTAAGGGGAGCGGGACATAGAGGAGCAGAGGAGGATCATTTTAATGCAAGGGAAGCTTTCGCGAGGTATGGTCTCCACAGCCAGGGTCACTGGTTTGGTTGGGATAATCGTAAGGGATCTTTTCAATTAAGTGGCCTGCATCTGCTGAAACTGTGTAAGGGGAGGAGCAAAAGTATTGGTTCACTTACCTAAAAGGCTAGGCATGCCTGGATCTAGGGGCTCAGACCTTGTTGTCGCCATCCTGTCCTGGCTCCTCCATGCGGGCTCTGCTTTCTGCAACTGTTACCTCCATTCAGGTGTGCACCTCCTGGGCAGCGGCAGGATGATTGCCGGCAGCCCTCAGCTTCCTCTCAGCAATCCCTGTGGAAAGAGAGTCCTTCCTCACACATGCCAGCAGAAGTCCAGGGTTTGGGTCAATGCCCATGCATGACTGTGGCCCTTGGGGTGCAATTCATAGACCAAACAGGTCTGATAAATGGTCCCACCACTTGATGTGGGAGGGAGGGAGAGAGACATTAGCTTCACTCAAACCATATGAATTATGGGTGGGTAGGGGAGAAGGAAAATCGGAAGAAGGGGAATGGATGCTGGGCAGGCAAAACTCACACATGGCTCTGGGTCCAGGTCTTGGATCTTCGTCTGACTCACCATCATGACTTGCTGGGGAGGAAGGTCCATTTTAACTCTGTCTCTGGGTCAGCACTGTCCAGTCACACTTTCTGCAATGATGGCAATGTTCATTAATTGGCAGTGTCCAGTGCAGTAGCCACCAGCCACATGTGGCTAATGAGCACTTGAAATGAAGCCAGCACTACTGAGGAACTGTATTTTCAATATTAGGTAATTTTATTAATAATTAAATTTAAACGTAAATACTACATGTGGCTCAAGGCTACCTAACTGGACAGAGCCACTGTTAGTGGAGGACGCATCACAGAGATAGTTCCCTGGGAGACAGGAGCTGGTTTTGTGTAGGAGAGTTGGGCAGAGGTCTGAATGCAGCCCCAAAGACCAGGATGGTGTTCTGGATCAGGCTGTGGAGGAGGAGAAAAGGGAGTTTGGACATGAGAGAAAAGAAGGACAAAGAAACATGGAGAGTTGTTTATCTGTGGCATCATTTGGGAGTCTCTAACTTGAGAAAATAGTTTTCCATCTAATATATGGACCATATTTGTACCAGGAAGAATCAAAATAACAACTGACCTTGTTATAAAAGCAATTGAAGGGGAACTCCATAACATGCTGTTACATATGATCTAAATGTTCAACTGTAAAAGCAGCCATTGCCTGAAGTGCTGCATGATGTATGGCTACACATAGATAAAAAGAAAAATTAAATGTTGTGCAGGTTGTTTAAAAAAATGCTGTGTTAACTTGTGTGACTGAGAGCAATTAAAGGCATTAAGCAGAAATGACATCAGGAGAATAGAATGGACTCGCCAAGGCAGAGTCTGGCCACAGTTTTGCGAATCTAGGGCTGGTTGAAGAGCAGCTTCTCAGTGAGCTGTTGTGATGGCTGTTTCATCATGCTCCATGTCCCTAGGTGGGTGTAGGAGCGTGTGGGGACCACCGTGTTGGATACCTTCAGAGCCTAAGTCCTCATGGTAGTCACAAGCCTGGCTTCCACAGGGGGTGGTTGTTGGTGAAGGCAGACTCCCCTGCTACGTTCCTGCAGCTGGGATGCCTGGATTCCCTGGACTCAGTTAATTGCCTGGATTTGTTCAGCAAGCATTCCTAAAGGACGTGCTATGCACTTACCATCCTGCTAGGCCTTGAGAAATGGGCAGGAAGAAAAGAGAAGCACAAAGCTTGGCTCCTGGCCCTGTGATTTTCCTGGTTTCCTGGCCCTCAGCATTCTCTCCCCTATCACTCAATCCATTTGATCATCCCCTAAAGACTTAGCTCCCACCCAGGAGCAGAGATTAAAGTGAGCATTCTGGAGCCAGACCGCCCAGGTATATGTCAAGCCCATGGCAAGTGACTGGCATACAAGGTGTTCAGAAAAAAAAAGAAGCTTTTATTTTGCTAATTTAGAGAAACAACAGTTCCATAGCAGAAAGAAGAGCATTAGAGTAGGTGAAGCTAACCTGGATTGAAACCTGGGCCAGGCAGCTAGGTGGTGTGCTCAGCCTCGGTCTCTCTATCTCTAAAGCAGGATGATGGAACCTCACATGATTATCATGAAGACTCAGTTGCACTGTGTTTTCTAAGGGCCTAACACCAGGCAGGCTTCAATGGTGGCTGTTCTGATGGGCCAGCAGGCAAGCAACATTGCTGTGAGAGTAGAGCGGGCCAGGGAAGAGGGTCTTGTGGGTAGTATATGAGCCAGTGGTTTCAAATTCAGCCTTGATTTGTGTTAGACCCAGGTGTCATTCAAACTTTATTACCATGAAGAACCCACCCAAACTTTGAAGTTCACATTGGCACCATCTTGCCAGCAAATCTTCTGCCCATTTCAGTGACTGGGGACTCCTACTGCTTCTGAGGCTCCTACTGCTACTGACCCAGGCAGAGGCAGAACAGCATCTTAGAAGAGTCAGCATGCCCTAAGATCTGTCTCTATGATCAATTATGATTCTGTGATCATTTTGGGGGTCCTAGGGCAGTGTGGCCAATTAGACACATCAAAGAATGGCTGTCATCATCTGAGTGCTGATGGCATGCTTGGGGCATTGTTGGATCCTCGGGCATGGTAAGAGAAAGAAAGCCACTTTAGCAAGGAAATCATGAGCAGATACTTTCCATGAGCTCCTTCTTCCTGCTCCTCTCTGTCCTGGTGACTCCTCCAGCCAGTTTCCTCAGTGGACAAAAATGTGGATGCCTTTGGGGAGATAATTCATTTCAATAGAAAAAGCAAGGGGTTAGGAATGCAGTGATTGGAAAGCAAGGCCAGGCTGTGGTGCCACTGTAGGTGTGGGCTTTGGGTCAGGGGCACTCATACGTGCATGTGTTCCTAGACATGCGTTACCTGCACGGACCTGTTCCTGGGCATGGGCCTGAACTTGTTCTTGCCTCTTTGTTGGGAAGCAGAAATACATGGGGTTTCATAGTTACTTTCTTTTGTCCCCTTTAATCTCCAGCTGATTCTGGGCTTCTGTAGAGCCAGAAGGGTCTTGGGGTCTACTCTGGAAGAGGCTCACTCCCATTCTCCTTATTTCTTAGAGCTCTTCTGGATTTCTAGCCTGTGTCTCTCTTGTTATAATCACAGTTTTCATGTTGTGGTCCAGTCTTTATCCTTGCTCCTTTCAGCTATCTACCTAGAACCTTCTGTGTGTATCATACATGTGGTAGGCGTGAAGACAGAGTAATGCCATATCTTAAGAAATGTCACAGTCTTGAGTGGGAACATTGTTTAATTATGCAGTGCTCAGTGGAAGGTGGATCCGAGTACCCTATGGCAGCATGGAGTCACAAAGGAAGCATTCTAGGCTAGTCTCAGAGGCTGGTGGTCTGAGAAGACATCACGTAACAGAAGTGGGTTGAGATCTGAAAAGTAGTTGGGAGAGAGCATGGCAGGAGAGGCAGGGAATGGGTTGAGAGTGGGTTCCCAGTGGAGGGGTGCATATGCAGAGTCCCAAATGTGATCAGGAGCGGGAGAGTAGGGATAGGAGAGGAAAAGAGTCACCAACAATGAAACTGCAGAGGAAAGTGGCAATTTTAGATGAATTAAATGCTTTTCACCAGAGTTCAACTGATTTTCTTCCTAAACTGTAACTGAAGCTAAACCATGAACACTGAAGGTAAATTTTACATTGAGAAAGTTCTTATGTTTTGAATGTAGAAGGGATAAGGAAATTATGGCTGGTTGGATCTGAGAATCATTTTTGGTCTTGCCGTGGCATACATCTAATTCATTCAAGGTTGGTGTTTCACATAACAGGACAGACACTAATGGATTTTCTGCTTTGTTGTTCTAGCATTTCAGGGAGCATCTGGACAAACTTTTCGCCAAAGGAATTGGAATGTTGGATATAGCTCTGAATGAGGCCTTCAACATTCTCAGTGATGTAAGTTCCTGTTTGGTTTGCCTTTCTCATCCCCTGGACGATAGATGGGTGTTGTTTTAAAAAATTGTGGGCCAGCTCTGGCTGACACTGAGCAGATCTGCAGGCATGGGATGGGAGAGTGATACTGGCTGGCCCATTTAGGTCATCTGGGGAACAGGTGCCAGCCAGTGAGTTCAAACCAGAGCAGAGTGGGGAAGAGAGAGTGCTAGGGGATGAGACCTGGGAGCAGCAGGAGCCAAACTGTGTAGCATCATAGAGACTCTAACATGGGCTTTGACTCTGTGTGGAGTGGAAAGCCATTGGAGGGTCTAAGCAGCGAATGACATGATCTTCAGTTTTAACAGTGCTTTTCTGGCTGCTGTGTTTAGAAGCAACTCTAGGAGGGCAAGGACAATAGCAGGGAGGCCATTAAGTGATCTAGGTAAAGATAATGGTAACTTGGACTGGGAAGATAGCAGTGAAGATGTTAAGAAGCAAAAAAGTAAAAACCATGCTAGGTATTTCAAATAGTAGGAGTTTAATTCAGGCAATTGATGGCATAAAAGATGGAAAAGCTGAGAAACCAGAGAATGAAGTGATCCACAGTATAGCATCATCAAGAGGCATCTCCTCTCTAGGGTAGAGGGTACAACAGGTAGGAAGGGTGACATCGAAGCCTAGTCACTGTGGCCATTCAGATGGGAACAGAACTGTGGAGGAGGCTACCCAAGAAGAACTGGGACTACAGAGGGAAAGACCTGTCCTGTGGAAGCTGGAACTATGGCAGAGACATAGTCATAGCCAGAAAATGCCTATCCCCTGAAAGCATAGAGAAATTGCTTAGAAATACCTTGGCTCCTTTCTTGCTTCCTTTACCCTTTATATAATCCTTGTCAAAACTGCTGGGGAGCTTGAGCACTGTGGTTTGCAGGAGGAAGGCATAGGATAGTCTGAGGACAAACAGGCACTAAATGGAGCAACCTCACCTTGAAGTGTCAAGCAGGAGCTGGGAGACCAGCAGAGGCTCCTAAGGTCTTGCTGCTGTTGGTCTCCAGGCAGCTCTCTGTAGGGCAGGCTGTTGTTATTTTGCAGGTGAGCAAGTAGAGGCCCAGACAGGTGAGTCGTTCACTCAGCAGTGCATAGCTTGTATTGGGATTAGTTACACCTGACTCAAAAACCTGAGTTTTGACTACTCAGCTATACTGGCCTCTCAAGCAAAGGTTAGGCCCTAATTTCTAGACTCTCTTTGACCAATAATACCTATTGGTCAGGCACAAAGGTGACTGTTTAGATATCACTCCTGAGACAGTGTCATGACTGCAGAGGAGAAGAGAAAAATAAGGAGAGAAGGTGCCAAGTCAACGTCCTCAGTACAGAGCCAAAGCCCCTGTCACCTTGTGAACTCCAAGGGGCTGTTGGCTACAAGATGTAAACATTTATGTGAGAGTCCGTATTCTGGGTAGTACATCTCTGTTGACAGCAGAGTAATCGTTTAGAAGCACAGTTGGTCAGCACAGAGGACTGGGCTGCACTTGCATTCTGGTTTGAACCCTGGGCAGGTTCCTTCTTAGGGCTTGGATCTCTACATCTCAGCAGACTCTTTCCAGGTGGTGATATTGAAACGACTTGTCACAATTTGAAAATTCACTCTCTTTCATCTCAAAAACCTAGTGGCCAGAGCACAGGGAGACTTCTCTGAGCTGGGGAGTCCCTTGTTTGGAAGTCTGCCCTGCAGGGAATTTCTGTTTCCCTGTTCTCTGGCCTCCGTGGTAAAGGAGAAAGGGTTAGGAGATTGTTGTATGGTTAAGTCTGCGGCCTTCAGAGTAAGGCAGGTTAGGCTGAGAAGCCCGACTAGGCCAGTTTGCTGTGTGGCTTCAAGGAAATGATTCAGTCTCACCCTTATTTTCTTTATTTGTGTGGTAGGGATACAAATTGCCCTGCACTGGCCATATAAATTGTAAGGCCCAGTGTAAAATGAAAATGCAGGGTTTCTTGTTCAAATTTATGAAGAACTTTAAGGCAATCATAGCAAAACGTTGAACCATGTGTGGAGCTTTCTCAGTGCGATTTTGTTCACCTGTGCATGTCACACACCATGAGGCAGTCCTGGTGGTCCCTTTCTCGTGGAGTTGAGAATGAGCCTGATGAGGCAGGACCTGGCCCCCTTTCAGCAGTACTGGGCTGGGTGAGAAGTGCCACCTCAGTGACCACTGAGACGCCAGGTCTCTAGACACAGCTCCCACTACAAATGCTTTGGTTTTCCTTGCCCAAGTCCCCAGCAGTGTCTGCTCCCCTTCATCTTCCTGTCTTCTGTTCCTTGCCCTGGTACCCTTTCTTTCTCCATCCCTTCCAACTATCACCTTTGTTCTCAGACCCTCCTAAGATGCTGTTTTCAATAGCATGCCCAGTTTAATGCTGGCCTGCCAAGGTACTCCTACATAGGGCTTGTGGTCAAGGTGGGGAGAAGCAGAAAAGCAAACACCATCCTCCTCTTGCAGACTCATGAGGTACTTGCACATATCAAAGGCCTTGAGAAGTCCTGCAGTGAACAAACCTTTAAAAATGTGTTTACCCACACTTATTAAACCAGGAACACTTTATATCATATCGTCATCTTAGTACTAGCATCTTGCAGAAGTTTCCGCCCACCAGTAGCATTTTGGGGCATAGTCTCATTATATACTCCAAGAATATGTGTTCACACTTTCGCAGGGACTACTAAGACCCAGAGAAATCACGAACACATAGTGGACTTTTTTTTAAACCTTGAATCTTTGTGAGGGAAGCATTTTGAACAGGAAAACCCTACGTACTCCTGTAGAAACACCTCTGGAGTCTGATCAGTCAGGTAACCAGATGAACTGAATGTAGATCTTGGAAAGCAAAAAAACTGAATAAATGTTTTTTTTAAAAAACAAAACACACACACACACACACACACACACACACAATAGGCTGGGTGCAGTGGCTCATGTAATACCAACACTTTGGGAAACTAGGTGGTTGGATCACTAGAGGTCGGGGGTTTGAGACCAGCCTGGCCAACATGGTGAAATCCCATCTCTACTAAAAATACAAAAAAATTAGCCGAGCGTGGTGGCAGGCACCTGTAATCCTTGCTACTTGGGAAGCTGAGGCAGGAGAATCACTTGAACTTGGGTGACGGAGGCTGCAGTGAGCTGAGATCACACCACTACACTCCAGCCTGGGAAACAGAGTGATACTCCATTTAAACACACACACACACACACACACACACACACACACACACACACACAACAATAAATGTTACAAAATGTCCCTGCTTGAGATTGGCTGGTGGTTGGCACCATATTTGTTTGAGTGCACGTTTATCTCATGGGAGAAACATTTCATATCATCTCTTGCCAGTGGGCCTTTAAATAGCTAAACTCTTTGACAAACACAGAAGTGGTTAATCTCCCATGAAAATGAAGCTTTATCTATTAATATTTTCTACTTCATCAGTATGACCTTTAAGTGTACTATTATCTTCCTGTGTATTCTGCCTGCCTTTGCAAGTCAATATGAAATAGAAAGTTATTTCTCTAACACACAGACGCACACGAACACACATGAGCAACAAGCTTAAAATTGTGATTGTGGCTGGAGCTTGGAATGGTTCAGAGGTTACTATAATTAAATGGAGTTAATTCTGTCTTACAGTTACCTGCATTTCAGTTTCTGTATTTGCTCAGATGACTTAAAGGCTCACAGTTGTTGACACAAATGGCTTTGAAAGGAGCATTCAAATAAACTTCTAAGCCCCTTCAAGCTATCGATTTCTGCTGCATTCATTAGATTCTGTAAGAACACAGAGCCAGTTTGCTACAGTAGTTAGCATCTACCTTGTCATGTGACAACTACAATTATCGTTTTTGGCGATGAATGTGATCTTTGCAGTGATTACCTTTTACAATTTTTTCTTAGCCAATTAAATAAAATTCGGTGACATTTCAAAGACTGTTAATCACAACCAAATGCTCTAAATGTCAGGACGCATTGAAAATTTCGCTGCTAACTGATGAATCACTGAGCTAATTGTAGTTCATCATCAGGCCCTTGTCATTGTTATTATTATGGAAAACACTTTCATCACTCTCGCTATTCAATAAAAAAAAGTTTTAGACAAATATGAAGAGAAGAGATATTACTCATCAAAGCATTTGAATTTAATTGCATTCTTCAAAATTCTCCAACTACAGATTGCAGCAGAGAATACCAGGGACTCAGCCAGAGAGGAAAGTAATGTTTTTAAATAAACAGTTCCTGGCAGCTCTTTCTTCTAGTCCACATTATTCAGATATCTTCTTTTTTCCTCTCTTTCTTTCCATGTGTTTGGGAAGATTTTTCCAGGATGTTTTCAAATGAGTTGCATGAACTATAGCCCTAGAGCATTCTGGTTTTCTTCCCCTCTGAAGCTTGTGTGACCTGAAGCATAGATCACTTCTATGCGTTGGCTTGTTGCTGGGTTGATTCAATGGTGCGAAGGCTGTGTTCAATGCAGTCTCCTCAGAACGTCTTCAGAACAACCTATTGGTAAGAGCAGGCTACGAGGCTGTTTTTTCTTCTGCAGTAAGGAAGAAAATACACTTCACGATAGAGTTTTAGTAGCTTCCCAGAGTGGGAAGGACAAAGTTCAGCTATGTTTTGATACTGAAATTTGGTTGAAGATGGACCTTTTAATGGGAGAGGAGGAAGCGGGCTTGGTGAGGACCAGGTAAGAATTCTAATATTTCAGTTGAGGGTTGGTGAACATAGCAAGGGGAAGATTTTAAGGCCAAGTGTTCAGTCTTAGGGTGTAAATTGTCCTTTGATACTTTCTATTGGAGAATTGATGGGTCTTTCAAGAAGTTCCTGGAATAAGCAATGAGGTTATTTGCAAGTTTTATTTTCTGGGCAAGCATTTTTCTGGAATAGTAAGTTATGTTGATAAAGACAATAGAATAGTGATCACCTGGAAAGCTTTGTGGTGTGATAGCTAGAGTTTCCAGGTGTTTCTGCCTACCATGACAGTGTCATGGGCTGTGTCTTCTCATTAACTCAAGTGCACACGTGCAGTTGGCATTGCAGGAATGACTGCCAGAGCCAGCACTACCATGAGGAAAGTATCTGGGGCACCAAATGTAAGGAGCACTCACCCTCAGGACCACAGCCCTGGTGACTCCCCTGTGACCCTGAAACCCTAGAAGGGATGGAGGAATAGAGACAGGAGGAGGAGGAGATTAATATGTTTGGAGCCCTACCACCTATCCATTTGCTCACTGACCTTCCTGTATTACTGAAAGGCCATATTGTGTGCTGAATTGGAGAGTGGATTCTAGAGCCTGATGATCTGGATTCAAATCCCAGCTATGGCAGGTAGTAGCTGTGTGTCCTGGGGCAAGTTAGCTAATCTCTCTGTGCCTTAGTTGCTGTAAAATAAAGGTAATGATAGTGTTGCAAGAGTTTTCCTTAGCTCACTTAAGGACAGGGTCCTTGTCACATGGTCCATGTCACAAAAATTTAGGCTTGCAGACAATTTGAAGAGTGAGAAAATGGAATTTATTGGGCAAAAAGGGAAACAGTTACTAGCCCTGCTAGTACCTGCTTCCCGCCTCATAGATTGAATCCCAGGTTCCTCACTGGAAGAGAAGCCAGGCTCCTCCCCAATGCAAATGGCACAGACTTCTTTGGCTCCATCCCGGTGAGCATTCCTCCCAGGGTTCAGACTGTTTGGAGTTTTCCCAAGGAGCTCTTCCCATCTGGCTGTCTCAATAGTACCTACCTCAGAGGCTAATAAGGATTAAGGAAGTTCATATTAATGCATGTAGCCTGACATATAATGAACATTGACCACTTAACTTGTGGTGTGCCAGCCATGTAAGGATGTTATTCTTATCTTGTATGTGGAAGAGTGAATGCTCAGGAAGGAAGCTTATCCCAGGCACACTGCTGTGTTGCTGAGATGGGATCAAGTGCTTTCTTATATACCATGGTACCTTGTGCATGATTTGAGTTGGCTTTACTGTGTCTCAATATGGCCATAAGGCAATTCCATTCATCCTTTTACCTATTTATCCAGTTATGTATGGTCTTCTCTCAAGTTACTGCAGTTTCAGACTCCATATCAGACGTCTAAGTGCATGAAGCCTAGGCATTAATAACTTGAATTCCAATTAATAATTTGAATGCTTTATTAAGTCTCTCACTCACCAGTGGCCCGTCAGCAAAGCCAAGAGCAGCCACCATCCCTCCCCAGTGTCATGGTCAATAGATTGAACCTGCCAGGCACAGTCCCACTCAGTGCCTTTGCACTTAACATTTGCCCTTCCTGGAATACCTTTCTCTCAGATACTCCCATCCTGCAGGTATAATTCAAATGTCACCTTCTCAGTGAGGTGTTCCTTGACTACATTTTCTAGACTTGCCCCCTCCCATTTCCTATCCTTCTTTGCTCTCTTCTTCCCCACCCTTAACATCACTGTTATCAAACATACAACATAGTTTACTCATTTACCTTGCTTTGTATGTCTTCCCACAGAGGATACAGAGCTTCCTGAGGGAAGGGATTTTTGTATGTTTCATTCCTAGTGCTATGTGGGCACTTAGCAAATAATTTTAGAACAAATGAATACACTTTGCAGATTATAATAGAGAAGGTTTTTACTTACTGAAGGTTGAAGACATTTTGTGTGTTTCCCATCTCTCAGCATTGACATGTAATTGTAGGGTTTTTAAAGGACATGGTGTTACATTCAATTGATTGCATCATTAATAGCATTCATTAAGGGAATTTTTCACCCTGATTCCAAGGACGGACATTCTGCTCTGGCAACCATATTCAGTCACTCTAGCTGCCTACCACTCACAAAGGCTGAGAGCTTCTAAAATCTTACATAAAGCCAAAAGTTGAAGAAGTTTAGGGTTTTACATACCACTGAGTTCAATCTTAGAACTTCAGCATGCCATCCATGCTAACATATAAACTAATACCTAAGTTTACATGACAATATAAATTTGAAAGGAACCTTTATTTAAGAAATGCTTGGGCTTTTCTTGTGAATTGTCGTGTTGTTGACTTTATTCTCTATATGCCTAAAACTTCCTTGATTTTATTATATGCCACATTCTGTGCTAGTCAGACCCACTCAAACTAGCCTCCTTTAGATTTTGAAAGAGATGTCTCTCAGGTAGTCCATTGCTCATGTAATGTGTCCCTAAAACGTTTCTGTGCCATCTCCTTTGGGCTTATTTCCTAAAATACAGTCCATACTTAAAAGTAAGAGGCTGTGTCATCCTAGACCCTTCTTTCTCAACCCCTGTGTATTTTTTGAAATCCCCCTGTGGTCTGTATTTAGATCTCTCGGAAGAAAAAAAAAAAGCCAAGCTCTATAAAGTATTTAAAGATGTTTTATTCTGAGCCAAATATGAATGACCATGTCCAACTTCAAGGGGTTCTAAGAACATATCCCTAAGTTGGTTGGGTTACAGCTTGGTTTTATACATTTAAGGGAGACAGAAGTTACCAGCAAAGACATAATGCATGTAAGGTATACCTTGGTTCAGCCTGGAAAGGCATGACATTTCAAAGGGATAGGGGCACTTACAGGTCATAGGTGGATTCAAAGATTTCTTACTGGCAATTCGTTGAAAGAATTAAGCTTTGCATAAAGAGTTGAAATCAGCAGAAAGAAATTCTTGAATTAAGGAGAGTGTGGAAGCCATGGTTTTATTATGTAGATGAAGCCTCAACGTGGCAGGCTTCAGAGAGAATAGATAGCAAATATCTCTTTTCAGACCTTAAAAGGTGTCAGACTCTTAGTTAAATCTCTCCTGGATTAGGAAAAGACCTAGTAAGGGAAGGAGATTCTCTAGAGAATGCAAATATCCCCCACAGGAGAAGGCTTTATGCATCAAAATAAATATAAGTCAAATAAATATATTTTGGGGTAAAATAATTTTATTTCCTTCAGGGCCTATTATCTGCCTTTCAGTGCAATGCCAGAGTCAGGCTGGAATTGTGTATACTGTTGCTACAAAGAGTTTGTTTTGTCAGTTTTATGATTGTGATTTTAACATTAGTGTTGATCAGTTCTGCCTAAACTCCAAAGGCAGGGGGTGTAACCAGGTGTGTTGGACCCATCCCCGACTTCCAGGTGTGGCCTGAAGTACTTTTTCAGATTTCTTTGGGATATCCTGGGCCAACAGTAAGGTCTGTTCAGTTGGTTGGAGGGCTTAGAGTTTTATTTTTGGCTTACAGATCCTTTTGTAAGAGCAAATGTGGTGATCTGCGTGGAGAGGCTTTTTGTGTAGGTCGTTTTGGTGATGGACAATGTGCTCTCATTTTAAGAGGCTTCCTTAGCCACAGGCCTCATGTCTCCGATTTTTCACTGATACACAGAATTCTGATATGTAAACTATTTTGAACTTATTTCTTTCCCTAGTTCAACCACACGGGACAAGGAAGTATCTGCAGTCAGGCCATCATGCTCATAACTGACGGGGCAGTGGACACCTATGATACAATCTTTGCGAAATACAATTGGCCAGATCGAAAGGTAAGTTGATGCTGATGCCATCTGTGCAGTGGCCTCCACTTAGAATCTTTACTGTAATCTCCAGCTTGTCCATGGGTAAGTGCCCCATGTAGACTTAATTTCATAATGATCTATGGTTTCTCAGCCTTGTGTTTTTCGGTTGACCAAAACTGAAGTCTGGCTTTCCCTGTTGTCAAAATGAAACTTTTTTGAAGGAGAGAAGGAACTTGTTAAGGACCTATTGGATGTGTTCCGTGAAAAGATTCATTGTGAAGTGTGCTTCATCTGTATTGGGCTGGGTTTTTCTTTATTTCTGTTTTCCCTGGAGGCAGAGCTGCATGTTGGGCCTGGCAGCTATAGAGTGGTGAGATCAGCAGGTAGCCCTGCAGGCCTCCCCTTGCATATTGTATGTCTGTAGTTCCTCCTCAGGTCCCCAGTACCACCCAGAAACTTCTCTCCATCCCCCAGTGCTGTTCCCCACCATTGTTAGAACTTGTCTGTTCTCTATTCTAATCCTGTCTTTGCTTTTCAAGTTGACAGTTATTAATCTTATGAGGGTGTTGTTAGGTTATCAGTGACTAATCCTAATATTTTTTGTGTCTTTTGAGTGCCTGAACTCAGAGATTGCTCAAGCTGTTATCTTGCCAGAGTTCCCTGGGGAGACCTTTAACATTATGGATATCCGTATCCTACCCCACACCTCCAGCAGCAAAATCTCTGGGGATGTGGTTCAGTAATCCATTTTTTAATGAGTTCCTCAGTGGGCACCAGCTGGCAGGCTGACAAGTGGTGGTCACTGTCCCACCTGAAAGGTGGAATTTTAGCAGGGGAAGTTGTTCTGGGGTATCACAAAGGTGTTTTTCTATTCCATGTGTCCGTGGTGTTACCCTGCCTGTCTCTATAGGTGTGTGAGTCAGTCCAGGCCAAGTCCATCCTGCTGTGTCTGTTTTGCATGCTTAACTTCTGGGAATTGAACTAACTAAACACACTTGGCAAAAAGAAACGGGAGACAAATGACAACTGTGTCCTCAGCTCTATCCAGGGAGCACACACTCTGAACATGAGATGGAAGATGTCATTCTGTATTCCCTTAGTTGGTCCACACCTGTCACTGGCATCTTGCCTCGCCAAGTGTGAGTCTGGTCTTGAAGACTGTGTACATTTTGTGCAACATGGTCCTCGAATGGGTGCCAACTCCTTCCCCCGGTACCCAACCTTGAAAAGAGCCATCACCTCTGAAGCTGGAGAAAAAGCTGGCAGTGCTGAGCTGACTGAGTATGTGGGACTCCGAGATGTCTCCTCCCCGGGGGATATCCAGGAATAAATTTGACCAGCCATAAACACTGAGTCAGTCCAACCCTTGAAGCAGATGGAGGTTCACTCTTAGACAAGGTGATATTAGATGTCAGCAGTATTTCATGTGGTAACTTCCAGAGACAGGTAGAGGCCAGAGTTAGTTCCTGATAAACATACATCATGTGAAGGGAGGAGCCTGCTGGACACAGTTGAACCTCTGCAGCACATGGCACAGTGCTGAGCATGGGGCAGGGCCTAATCCATAGCCATGCTGAGTGGCCGAGTGACTGAGGGGGCCAGGAGGGATGCTCCAGTACTAGTAAACATAAGTAGGGCTGTGGACATTTTGCAGCCAATAGAATGTTCACAGATGCCATGACATCTCAAATCATGATGAAGAATACTTTGCATTATTTAGGGCATTTTTAAAAAGAAGAAGAAAGTGAAGGGAACTTTTAATAAGCAGCTCTGTGAACAGCAAGTGTTTTTTCATGTGAGTTTCACATGGTGTATCACATGAATCTTTCCCACTTGGTGACACTCAATGGATAGCATTTACCCAAGAATATTGGTATTTAAACGCCCTGTCCTTAGTCATAGAGGCATAGGATGAGAGCTGCAAAGTCCTAATTCTCCAGACAAAACACAAATCTCAGTGTATCTTTCCAAATGAATAATATTGATCTTAGGCCAGATGTGTTCTTGAATTAATTGGAACCAGGGTCCTAAAAATTTCAACATTACTTGAAGCAGTTTCATCTACTTATAAAGTGTTATCAAGTGGGTTTTCTTTCTATAGCAAGAGTGTCGTCTTTTATGATTAGAAGTTAATAGCAGTTTTTCTTCCCCTCTGACCTATACTGGAGAGTTTCACAATGTTCTTATACATATCCATTCTCTTATTTATGAACTTCCACGTGAGGGTGCAGGCAATAAACTCTCATAAAAACCCGATACAGTTCAGCGTTGTGTTAAAATGAGATGATGAGCAATGTCTAGGCAGTCATCTTTCTCCACTATTTTGAACATTAGCTATTCAGTAAAGAGTTGTGCCATCCTGTAATCGACAATCTTCAGGATTGTAAAAACAGTAAATGGGTTCAGGAGAGAAAAAAATGATCTCCAGGCTGGAATGTGATTCCCATAAAACAGTAGTTCTCAAACTTGAGTACGTGTCAGGATCACCCAGAGCCCTCATTCCCTTACAACTTCTGATTCAGTAGATCTGAATGAGGCTAAGAGTTTGAATTTCTAGTTCCTGAGTGCTGCAGAGGCTGGTGGGGAACCACACTTGGGGAACTACTGCCACAAGAAATAGCCCAAAGAATAGGGTTTGGATACTTTACAGGTTTGCCACATTGCTGGCCTCTATTGACTTTTACAGGGACCTATTTCCTCAGTTGAATTCAATGCACGGGTGTGTGTTTCTTAAAAACTGTCAATTACCAATCAACATTAAAAGTCAAGATATTTGTATTAGTCCATTTTCACACTGCTATAAAGAACTGCCTGAGAATGGATAATTTATAAAGAAAAGAGGTTTAGTTCACTTACAATTCTGCATAAATGGGGAGGCCTCAGGAAACTTAAAATCATGGCAGAAGGGGAAGCAGGTTCGTCTTACATGGCAGCAGGAGAGAGAGTGAGTGAAGTGGGAAGAACCCCTTATAAAATATCAAATCTTGTGAGAATTCACTCACTATCATGAGTACTGTATGAGGGAACACTCCCATGGTCCAGTCACCTCTCACTGGGTAACTCCCTCAACACCTGGGGGTTACAATTCACAATGAGATTTGGGTGGGGACACAGAGCCAAACCGTATCATTATTTTATAAAATTTTAAAGTTGTAGCCTCTCTCATAATGGGTTGCACCTGGCACCTTTGGGCCAATATTCCCATATGACAAGGCCTCTGCTGGAGCTGGGCAGCAGCTGTCCCCATTAGGCAGCAAACGCATGCTTCCTCTGGACATGAGCCTCCTCACCACCCTTCATTTCCTCTCAGCCCATTTCACTCATATGCTTGACCTCCCACAGGTGTGGAGTTCCTGACCACTGCTCTAGGGGGACAGGTAGTTGCTGTTCCCCAGCCTCCAGGAGTTTGTTCCCTTCTCAGATTTACCCTGAGCCTTCCCTCCTCTCCTCATTTGTCCTGCCTGAGCCCAAAACTCGAAACTCCCTAGGAACTGTCTTAAGGAAGTATAGCTTTGTGTCTAATATGATAATTGTTTCTGGACCTGTCTTTCATCTTCATTCTTTGGTTAGTCCATGAGAACAGGTTCTCTACTTCTGAGCAATCCTACTACCTTTCACTCTATCCCAGTCCTGCCAAGAAGGGTGGCGTAGTGAGCCTAGGGTACCTGCCTGAGCCTTTCCCCCAGTGCTTATGTCCTGTATAATCTCTTTGCCGTCTGTGTGGGCAAAACCTGTGGCTTGCTTTTAACCAGTAGAATCTTCTAAAGGTGAAGGGATTTTGTCTCAAGTCAGTTCATTTTTGAGTTAATCAGAAGGGATATTATCCTGGGTGGGCTTGCTTGCTTGCTTTATTTATTTATTTATTTTTCTTCAGCTTTTAAGTTCCAGGGTACATATGCAGGATGTGCAGGTTTGTTACATAGGTAAATATGTGCCATGGTGGGTTACTGCTTGATCCTTCTATTACCCAGTTATTAGGCCCAGCATCTGTTAGCTATTCTTCCTGATGCTCTCCCACCCCACAAAGGTGCGCAGTATGTGTTGTTCCTCCCCATGTCCCCATGTGTTCTCATAATTCAGCTTCCACTTACAATGAGAACATGCGGTTTTCTGTTTCTGCATTAGTTTGCTGAGGATAATGGCTTCCAACTCTAACCATATCCCTCCAAAGGACATGATTTTTTTTTAATGGCTGCATAGTGGTATATGTACCACATTGTCTTTATCCAGTCTATCACTGATAGGCATTTAGGTCAGTTCCATGACTTGCTATTGTAAATAGTGCTGCAATGAACATTCGTAGGCATGCACTTTATAATAGAATGATTTATTCCTTTGGGCATATACTCATTAATGGGATTGCTGAGTCAAGTGGTATTTCTGCCTGTAGGTCTTTGAGGAATCACCACACTGTCTTTCACAATGGTTGAACTAATTTACACTTCTGGGTGAGCCTTTAATTGAGAATCCTGGGAAGAGGGACTGGACCCTCTACAAAGGCAGAGAGACTCTCCCTGATGGTGTGTTGAAGTAAGCACCTGTTTGGAGAAGCCTATATGGCCAGGAACTACAGGCAGCCTTGAATGTGAGACTGGCTTCCAGCTGACAGCCAGAAAAAGGCTGGACCCTCAGTCTTATAGTGAAAAGAAATGAATTCTGCCAACAATCTAGGTGAGGTTGGAGGCAAATTCTTCCCCAGTCAAGACTGCAGATGAAAACACAGCCCAGTTAGCACCTTGATTGCAGCCTTGTAGGATTATGAGCAGAGAACCCAGCTTGTTTGTGCCCCAACACCTGAGCCACAGAAACTGCGAGACGATGATAACTGTACTGTTCTAAGCCACTACGTTTGTGATCACTTGTGTTATAGCAGTAGAAAACTAACACAAGAAGCACGGAAAAGGGAGAAGGGGAAGAAAATCACTGACATAGCAATGCTATAACACATCCCCAAATCTAGTGGCTTAAAATAATAGTAACTTCCTATTTCTTGTGATTCTGTGGGTTAACTAGTTGGTAGTTCCATT